TGATCGCCCTTGGACGCTGTTTATATATAGAGCATTTACCCCTGGATGCAGTTGCTTGCAGACAGCCACAATGGTCTGTGAGCAGTTGTGAATCTGCCATGTGAATGAGACCTTAGAATTTGGCATAAGGTTGTCTGATTTTCGAGATTCCACTGCATTCTGCTTCCTGGTCATATGGTCTGCACCAATGTAGGCACCAGTGATAGTTGGGCCTTTTACTTACCTTCTGTCATCACTACTATACACAACTGCTGCAGCATTGGGTCACATTAAAGGCTAAGTCCACGTTTGAAACATGTAACATGTTTCAGCTCCTGCCCTCTCTCCCCGATACCCCCTTCCTGTGACAGCGGGCAGGGGTTCCTTTCCTCACACTCATCAGTTTTTACAAACAACACAGCTGTGCGGAGCTCCGCCCACACAACCACTTCATTTATTAATTAGTTAGTATAAACTACCACTGCCACTGTGGCTGACGGACTTGTAGTTTCAGTGGACTGCGGGGGGTACTGGTGAGCACTCTTGGAGTGCATTGACTTGTTCTTTTGGCTTTGAAACAGAAAAGCCTGTACAGAGGTCCCGACTGAAAGGTAGAGGACATGTCTGCAGGAGCCCACATTGCACCCAGGATTTACTAATCGTGGGTGCAATGCTTTCCAGGATCCTGCAGGAAATAATGATCAATGCACATTTTTTTTTTTCTGCAAAAATATGTGCATTTATTATTTTTTATGCAAAGGTGAACTTCTCCTTTAACTGGGAACCGTAGTGGTGTTTGATCTCATTTAGGAGAAACAGGTGCTTCTTCTGATACCCCTCCCCTTCCTCCCAAATTGCTTTAATGTGGACTTAAAATGTAAGCTTAGGCCTGCATATAAATGAATGAAGCACCCTTTGCATTATAAATGTTCTGCTTGTCTACTTTGTAACACTAAAGTTTTTAGAAGGGCCTTTTTGGTGTGTTTTTTTTCTTTTTCGTGTTGTACAGAGGGTATCACACTCAAAATGAAAGCCCTATGGCCAGTGACAGAACTTGAAAGCCTCCTCCAGCTTGTGTCCGCAGAGTCTGACCTTGTGGAGTGTATGTTGTCTTCTTTGACAGAATAATCTGATTGCCTTGAAATAGCTCACATTATTGCTTGGAGATTTGCTTCATTTAATTTGTTACTCTGGGGCAGAAGTAGGCTTCTTGTGACAAATCCACAAAAAGTATCCATGTTCATTGCCATTGGCATGCTGGGACTTCTTCAGAAATGCAGATTTACTCTAATAACAATCAGGGAAGTAGCGGAAGCTGACACTCAGATTGATGTCCAATGATAAAGGTTTTAGTCCGTTTTTGGAAGTGTTTGATCACTATCATGATAGGGCAAGGAGAATACCCATGAAAGTCAAGTGATTCAGGTGCAGGTGGAGGGTTCATTAAAAAGAGCAAAGATACGGTACATCCCCCTGTACTACCCGGCGTGTTAGGAGCTGTAACTCTTAGCAACAGGAAGCCCGTTAACTGAGTCTCCACTGTTTGCACCAGTCACCGCGTAGAAAGACACTGATCCCACCAATCACCACATAGTTTCCCTGCTCCCACCAATTGCCATTGGCCACTGACTGAGATCCTGTCTGCAGTCCAACAAACAACTGAAGGAGTGCACATGGCAAACTGACAACTTTGCTGCTATATTTGAGGCAGCAGTTTAGCGCTGTCAGCCTGAAACAGGAAGTGCTGTTACTGGCAGGATCTCCAGCCCCAGCATTTTTAAGTTCTCTGTGCGGACCCAAGGAGCAGTGTGATCCGACCGGACCAGTATCGTCTTACCACCGACGGACCATCTGGGTACTATAAAGCAGCGCCTACATGGGACCACGGCTATATGTAACCTGTACATGCGCATTGTAATTGCGCTTCTGGTAAGCGGGCAATTTATCTATTCCTGGGATTGGATCACACTTATACTCCCTGCGAGTCCCCCATCACTGAACTGTCTATCATCTTGAATACTTTCATATTTGAAGATCGTATATATTTCAATTGCCACTTGGACATTACCTATAGCGCTGCACTTATATTGTCTCTATTTTGGTTGGAAGGGCTTGTAGTTCCTTTTTGTGCATTTGTCGCTCACTGGAGTGCGCTCACTTTTCCTATTTATACACAAAAAGAGCAAAGAGATCAGTCACCTGATGTGGCAAAAGCAGGGGAATGGTATGTTTGCTGTATTAGGTTTTTGTTACATAGGTTTTCTGTGCCTACCTTCTCCCTCATCCATTACATCCTATAGTCTTCTAAATAACAGGTGCCCTTCAGCCACTGTAGCAGCACTATAGGCCTCATTTATCAAGTGTATGAAAAAAAGAATGCCTGTATTGTCTGCAGCAGCCAATAAGATTTCACCTTTTCCCTTTTTTTCAGACCTCCTGGAGCTAAATGAATGTAGAAGTCTGATTACTTACGATAGTTATGACAAGGCATTTCATCTGATTGGATTCACGTTGTTCTGTGTGCATGTTAACATACGTGTAGGAGTAAATGGACCCATATAGTTTCCTATTGCTTTTTACATAAACCTGGAAAAAAACAAGTGTGAAACGGCCTTCAGACATTTTTTCACTCATGAAGCCCTGGATGCTTGGGCCTGCTCTAAATAATCACCATCACAATTTAAATTCCCATACAATTGTTCTTTAATTTTTTTTTTTTTTAGGTTAATTAACTTTTTTAATTGTCATTGTTTTCTGATAATTACTTTCACCTGGAATTGGGACAGGGAAATTAGCAAATCACAGGAAATTGATGATACAGCCTAATACAGGGAACCAGGAATGCACTTTGGTGATGACTAACAAAATCTAGAGCAAACAAAACTGGAACAAAAGTCAGGCATTTGCCTGTACCACCTAATCAGTCCTTCAGATAAAAGCTAGTGATTGGCATCTCTGCTTTGGTTCCACTCTGTGCAAATCAACCCCAGAAAAGACTGTTTATGGCAGTGCTTTTCAACTTTTTTTAGTCAACATTTTGCACAATCTCGAGGCACCCCATTCTAAAATGTAAAAAACTAAACTAATAGTTTGCATGATGCAGCAACATCCACACACCTAGGACACCCAATGTTAAAGGTGATTTATTCTTCCAAAGCAAATACACCTTTGCACACTGGTGCTGGCTAGTCTTTCAAGATTTCTTTTCTTTATTGGTTTCTCTCTCACTCTAATGTGACCCCAGTGCTGGCAGAGAGGGGCAGACGTGGAGACAAACAAGGTTGCTGTGCAAGGTGCCTGACCTCTTCCTCAACCTCAACTGATGTCATTGCTTGTTATGATGTTGGCGGCAGAAGGTTGTAATGGTGCTCAACAATAACTGGTGGCCTTGTAACTAAATGGCAGGCTTGATCCACCCTCTTGCTCATGTACAATTTTCAGGACATTTTTAGGCATTTTTCCAACGCATCCCTGAAGAAACCTGAACGCACCCCAGAGTGCCTGGTCTAAATTGGGAGTAGACTTTGTACCATTGGGTTGCTGTGGACATTGTTTCACGCTGTCATTACCCCAGGTTTCATAAATCCTTAAGCCCAAATAAATGTAATACCATACTGCTGCAGATAGGTAAAAGAAGGTTTTCTTTCTGGCTTTTTTTTTTTTTCTTTTTTCAGTGCCTTACATGCTTAATGACCTGCAGCACACTGGAAAGTTGGCCCTGTATAGGTATAGGCAGTGAACACCTATTTGCGTTCATAGGAGAGTGAAGCTAGATATTGGTGGCAATACTGTGAGTACAGTTAGATTGATTTTATTATTTTAAATATCCATTAGTAAAGCATATAATGCAAAGTCACCACAAGGATAAAGTACAGGTGAATTACATAGGAACCCAAACCAAATTAAGGAATTATCCAAGGTGATGGTGAAGGAGAAAGAGTATCTCATACATGGAAGTTACTGTTATGCTTAACATAAATTGTAATAAATCATTGAGTACTATAAAATCAGAGTACCCTCAAAGAGGATGTATTATCCAACCCCCAAGATTTTCACATGTGGGTATCCACTTTCAATAGTAAAAACAGTTCTAATTTTATGGGAGTGGATTTTAAAGAAAAGTATCTATGTAACTTGTTTCTAGTGCCTTGCCCAACAGTTTGGTCCATACTGATGTTTTTTGGACACTGGTGGGTTAAATCAAATGCTAGTTTGTCAAGTGAAGTCTGTTTACTCAGAGTTCAGGGCTCTGCTGTAAAGTTGTATTTGTGTGTGAATCTGAGATCTTTAGTGCAGACATCTATTTACCAGAGCCCTGGAGCCTGATCCAAGCCACCAGTATCTACCCAAAGATAAACTAGGTGTTGGGTGGACTGGTCTTTTCATAATTTTAAGTGGGTGTCTTCTTTAACCTACTTTAATTTATTTACTTTACTCAGACCAAATGAGCAGGTTTGTAAATGTAATCATTTGCCTTTTACCTTGCTCTTGCTGTCCATAGAAAATGGCATGGGATCTGTAGTGGTCCTGTTCCTTCTTCTAGACTTTCAGCATAGTTGTGTCAGAAATGGCATGTCTTCAAATGTGTGTTCTCCCCATGTTATCTCACAACTGGCCTACAGTTATGGGCAATAAAAAACACACCTAAAGATTCTAGAGAAACATTTTTTGATATAGCTCTTTTGTTTCAGACATTTGATGATGATTTAGCGCTGGTGGCATTGTTTTACTCAGGTATGAGGGACGTGATAACCAATAATTTATATCACACAGGTGCACTTGTCCTTTAGCTCTGCACCACAGTATACACATGAAAGTAAAGGTTACATTTGTATGGATTAACACTTTGAGCCAATCTTGAACAATCACCCAATCACATAACATTTTCTAGTATCCACGCAGTAGAATATATATTTAATACTAATGATTACATCTTAATCAAGGCCTGTTCCTTCAAGTCATTATGGTTCTCCAGTAAAGTGCTTTGCGTTTTAGACATTTGTATGTTTCTGGTTTTCCAGCCGGTGACGCAACTTGGCCTGCACTGAAACAGAATACGATGTCTGTGGTTAAAACACCTCCGCTTGGCACTTCTGACTGGAAAGAGTCAAATATAGAGGCCGGATTCAAAACTGCACCAATATCCAGCCAACCCTTACCGTCTGCTGCAGTGGGGCCCACCGAGAAGCTGGTAAGTTTTCCAAAAATTTTGTTTTTTCTGGTCGATATTTCGGCAGATTTGTGTGTTTCAAAGACCATGTATACAATGGAGGATATTGTGTGTTCCACTAGCCTTTCCCCCTTGTTAATGCAGAATTGTATTGTGGCCAATTGGCTTCCTACACAGAAACTTTGCTTAGCCTTGTGGTGTTCCTCAGCATTCACCACAATATAATTTCTGTGCTTTTATCTTTGAACAGCTATCCAACTTTAGACTATAGCAGGGGCGGACTGACAACTCATGGGGCTCCCAGGCAATAGGGGATCATAGGGCCCCTGTGTCCTTGCCCAAACTCAAGCCTATGAAAAAGGTACCAGGGGCATCTCATGGGGCCCTCTACTGACCCCGGGCCCCAGGCAGTGCCTGAGTTTCCAAATGGTCAGTCCTCCCCTGGACTATAGCAATGTTCTTCTCTTTCCATCATATGCATAAATTATAAAGGGGTTTACTTCAGATTTAAAGGCTAGGTTCACCTGTTTTGGCACGTTTTATGTAACGTGTATGTATTTACACGTTACATGCACCCTGACAGCGGGTGGGGGATCCTCTCCCCGCACCCGCTGCCACTTTTCAAAAATGGCAGGGCTCTGCCCGCACTGCTGCCTAATTCATTCACAGCAATCTGTGAATAAGAGAACTAGAAGTCCCTTTTGCCACTGTGGCAGACAGCTTATAGTTCTCGAAGAACTTTTTTTTTTCTGCAAAAAATATGTGCATTTATTGTTTTCCCATAAGATTAAGTTATCCTTTTTTAGGTGAACCTGTGCTTTGCCCATGCAGGAAAAATCAACTGGCTCACTTAAATCCAGAAAAAGAAAAGCCCCTATGTGATTTACTAGTTGTTGTCAGTGCATAACATACTCAAGTATATGGATTCTTCCCATGTAACCATTCTGGTGCACTTTTTTATGAAACGCGTTACATATGTTCCTTGTACTGGAACTGTATAGGTGGAATTAATATAAACCTGTTACTTTGCCCTGCATAGTCTAAGAATTTTAGACAGCAGGCAGAGCTGAGCAACTATTAGGTCACCAGAATGCTTTCTGCTGGGCATTACAGAGTATATGTTCATTTAGGTCCATATATAGTTGGTCACAGGCACAATTTTTTTTTTTCCAGATATTTACCAAAACACATTCAAGCTATATTTATATAATGGATATGGGCTGAAAGTGCACACTCTTGGGTTTAATTTGTGGGTATGTAAATCCAAATTGGAGGAAGGGTTTAGGAATTACAGCTCTTAAGAGTAGCCATCCCCCTTTTATAAGGGACCAAAAGTAATTGGACAATGGAATCAAAAGCTGTTTAATGGCCAGGTGTGGGCTACTCCATTATTTCTTCATCAATTATGCAGGTAGAAGGTCTGGAGTTGATTACAAGTGTGGTATTTGGAATCTATTGCTGTGAACCTACATCACTGGCCAAGTCAATCACCTGATCTCAACCCAATTGAGCATGCATTTCACTTGCTGAAGGCAAAACTAAAGGCAGAAAGACCCACAAACAAAGAACAACTGAAGACAGCTGCAGTTAGAGCCTGGCAAAGCATCAGGAGGAAACCCAGTCTTTGGTAATGCCCATGGGTTCCAGACTTCAGGCAGTCATTGCCAGTAAAGGACTCTCAACAAATTACTACAAATCAACATTTTAGTTAGGATTATATCCATTTGTCCGATTACTTTTGGTCTCTTGAAAAAGGGGAGGGGGTGGCTATTCTTAAGAGCTGTAATTCCTAACCCTTCCTCCAATTTGGATGTACATACTCTCAAATTAAACCTGAGTGTGTGCACTTTCAGCCCACACCCATTATATAACTATAGCTTGAATATGTTTTGGTAAATACCTGAAAAAATCTAAAATTGTGCCTGTGTCCAAATATATATGGACCTAACTGTACATGTGTTTATATTTCGGTTTCAGTGCTTAGCTGCTGTTGTGGACCTATTTCTGAAAATCCTAACAGCTGGCTTTTATGTTGGTCTGATGGCTTTATAATATTGAAATCACTGACCCACAGCAGGAATGAAGATCAGGTGCACTGACTTCAGTTGCTGCACATTTGCTTTGACACGGGCTGTTTTTGACAGGTCATATAGACTTCTAGGCAACTATAGCATTTTCCTGAGGTCAATAGTGACACCCAATAGATTTTTCTGATGAGTTTCCTTCAATGTCTTAATGGTTCTTGGTCTTCAGTCTACAGATGGTGGGAAGTTGCCCTCTCCAATCCCAGGATTGAGTAAGACGCTGCCACACAATTATGGCATGTACCAGGGACCTCTTCCCTTGAGTGCTACAAATTCTTTGGAAAGGAGAAAAGATGGAAGCCTGACCAGACCCGGCTCTGGACCCACAGCACGTACACGCCCACTTCCGTTGCCTACGCCAAGTAATGCTCACCCTCCAGGTTCCTCCCAGCAAATCCAGCAAAGGATTTCTGTCCCGCCCAGCCCCACGTACCCACCTTCCTCTTCTCCCTTGTTCCCTGGAACAGACACTAGACCCGACCCTCCCTTAACTGTGGCGATCCGACCTTTCCTGGCTGAAAAGGGATCCAGGCCACAGTCACCTAGGAAAGGACCACAGACAGTAAACTCAAGTTCTATTTATTCTATGTACCTTCAACAATCAACACCACCAAAGAACTATCAACAAGCTGTATATAACACCCTCAACAAATCTGTGAAAGCGGGTAAGTGTGTGTGGTGATAAGTAAATAAAATGGTCATTTTATATGAGGAAACCCTCTTTCATGAATGGTCTTCAGAAGATCTTATAAATAAGCTTTGTATTGTGTGACAAATAAGTAGCAGTACTGGCCCTCCCATTGCCCAAGCCACATCACCCATTCCAAGAAGGTTCACAGTGGTTTGTGCAGTAGGATAGATTTTAGTAATCTTTTATTTTAAATGGAAAATTATGACTGCAGTGTTCCAACTTTTAGATGTAGAAGTGTACCTTGGCTGGCAGATGTGGGTAGTGATTAACCTCATATCCAATATTATGTATACTGTACATAACTCCTTCGGTTAGAAGTAATATTAGAGATTTTTTTCAGGTCTTTCAAAGCTTGTTTATACCACAACTGAGAGTCCTTGTGAGCTGTGCTATAACATTGTTCAATAGTGGCTTTTCAAACTTGTACTAATGACCCGGTCCCCATTTCTTCCAGTATATGGCAAACCAGTCGTCCAGTCTGGATCATCCAACTCCTCCCCTCTTCCTTTCTTACATAATGCACCAGCTCCAGGAGGCGACAAAGAGGGTGAAGTGGATGGCAGTGTTCCAGCTGGGGAAGGTAGTGGAGTGGAAAACATCCCTCGCCCCCTTAGTCCAACTAAGCTGACCCCCATTGTTCACTCACCGCTGAGGTATCAAAGTGATGCTGACTTGGAGGCCCTCAGGAGAAAACTTGCCAATGCACCAAGACCTTTAAAGAAGAGGAGTTCTATAACTGAGCCTGAAGGTCCAAGTGGCCCCAACATACAGAAACTGCTGTACCAGCGCTTTAATACCTTGGCTGGGGGCATGGAAGCTGCACCCTTCTACCAACAGTGTAACTCGCAAGAGCTTGTGAGCGCGTCAGCTGATGTGGACAATGGTAACATGAGCACAAATGGCAATGTAGAGGAGGTGGGCTCTTTACAGCCACCTGTTCTTCCCCCTGCAGCACCTGTTCCTCAGCCACCAGCTCCCGAACCACAAGTCTCCTCAGATGACAATGACAACAAAGTCTGCTCACCTATCACAGAGGAACCAGTTAGTAGTGAGATTATTAACCAGGTTTCAGATACAACTGAAGACGATAATAATAATCCAGCCATAGTCTCTTCCAATGAGAAGACACCAAGCCCAATACTTGAAGAACCATCTCCAGTCAAAGAGGAGGTACCTGCACCACCCACTGTGCCACCACAGAATCCTTCTGTAAGTATCACACCTAATGTCTCCTTGTTGTCCTTGTTAGAACTTCTGTTTTGTGTAGATATATAATAGGTTTATATAGAATGAAAATGCAGTGGAAAATTCATAGTGGGACACCATCAAGTTGTTTGCATCTGCTGAAAGGGCAGCGTAAATGACAGGAATTTTTTTTTTTTTTACTTGTCAAAATAACCTTTTCAACCATCTATGATTTTTTTTTTTTTTCCTTTAATTTCCATTTTTTATGAATGATTGTGTACATGCTCACTTACATAACAGATATCTGGGGGCGCTCTTATATTAAACAAAGCTTGCAAATTCTGATGAGCCCTCCCAATAGACCCCCACATCCATTGGGCTAGGGATGTGAGGATGAGGCCCTCCATCTCTGGGACAAGGTGCCTTGCTGGGTAGGGAGAGGGCCATACATGTTTAAGTCATCCACCAAGCATGTTATTTAAAGGAATTGTGTACTTTTTAATGTTGCCCTTTAAGCTGTATGAAAACACCAAAAGCTTGAAGGTTGCTTACAGAAAAAGGTCAAACATTTACAAGATTTGGCTCCTGGAAAAGGGGTTTGCAGATTTTTTTTCTTCATGTGTTCCATGATGATTGTCTAGCGAACTAAAAGTTGTTCAGTTTGCTCTTAATTAGTGACCTTCATACTCTGAGAGTGATGCTACTGAACCAGACACTTGTAATACTTAAATACCATGGTGATAAATGGGTGTCATAAAATAACATGCCTAACTTTACAAATATTTTTTGCAGGGTTGTCTATTATTTGCTTCAGCTGTGTATTTAGCTCTGGGGTAGAGTTGCTCTTTAGTGGAAAGTCTTTGAACACAGTTCCAGTCCTGCAGGTTAACAAAGTAATTCTGTATCCATGTTCAAGTTGGGTATAAATAACTGGTACCCTAGAGCCTCTTTGCCGCTGTCTGTCTAGATTCACTAATGATCCTGCAGCCTAGAGGAACTTGGCACACAGCAATATACCTAGGTGTGGGTACCAGCCTGCTCTCCTGTTTGGTCTTCCAGACCTTATTTAGCAGGTCAGCAATCATTACTGTCTGTCTATTTGATTGCTACATATAGATGTCCTCTGTCTGCTCTGCACAGCACTTTATCCGATTAATGGAGAAAACTCCTCTAGGGGCCTCCAAGGAATTGTTTTCTCAAACCTATAATTGCAAACAAATTTCCCATAGGCAGGCAAATGGAGCTCAAATAAAAGCACCAAATATTTGTGCAGACTGTTCAGCCGCTCATAAGCCCTTGGGAACTTGAGGGTTCGTTAAAACTAGACATGCTTCCGGTGGGTGCTGGAACCACTCCTACTGCCATATAGACCTAGACGGTAACAGCTACTCTTCATCAATAACTAGTCTAATGTCATTGATTTTATAGACCGTAAGACAGCCCATAGATGAGTCAATTTTTTTTCATTCGACCAGTGAGTTGAACAAAAAAAAAATTACTTTATTCCTCCACCCACATACTTGATGTGGATGGGGGAATTCTCCTCACTAAGCTATTGGATTTTGATGGCTGGTAAACTTCCCTGCTGTCAGAATACACTGATCAGCATTACAGGTTGCAGCCTTCACCACTGATTGAGCAGGGAAATCCAACAAAGTGGCTATATAGAATTATATTGTTAGATTGACTTCTGTACAACCACAGTACCCATACATGGATCGAAGTTTGTCCTGTCCCTGCCAAACGGCTGAATTTCATAACATGTATGGTTGGTTTTCCAGTTGTACTTGTGAAGTAGTTGAAAGGAGGACTCAAACATTTTTTCTTGCACAAAGACCCTTTGGAACCAATGGCAGACAGAATTACCAAACAAGGATAATTGTATTAGGAGCCAAATTTATATCTGCAACCCTTTAAAAATTTACGCATGGGGAATGCCTCTTCATTGCCATAGAGTAAGAGTTGGATTGGGCATGATAGATGCCTCTTCTTGACAGCCAGGTGATGCTTCAGGCTGAGCAAACATACAATACAGTTCAATTGGTTAATAACAAAATGGCAGCCCCCAGCATCAGTATGCATAGGGGTATGTCAAAGGCCAACCAGTCATTTTGTTAAGTGAGTTCATAGCAGCGTATTTTAGGCATTTCAAGTGTTACTTTATCCTTCATCTACGAAGTAAGGTGCATTTTGATGTAAACAAAGATGCAGCAATGTTGTAGAGTTGGGAATGCACCCTAAATGAAGTCCGCTATCTTCATCACGTGAACTCCAGGAAAACTGCTATATGCATGAACTATTAATCTGCCAAAGGATTGGGAATTATGTTCAGACACACTCGTAATTTAGGCACCCCTGCCAGACAGCAAAACCTGGTAGGTGACCTCGCCTTTCTCTATTACAGTTAAGCAATAATGCTGACAGTAGCAGAGAAGCAGCATGAAGAAGAGGTCCTAACTCTCTCCTCCTTCTCTAAGCATGTCTTATCTGTTGATCAACTCTCTGATTTACAGAGGGCTGAAAACCAACTGAAGTATAAGGAATGCATAACTAGATTTAGTTGTGTGGTTTTTTTTTTCGTTTATCATCTATCCAGAGTTCAGCTTTAACCATGCTTTTTTTTTTTTTTTTTTTTTGGGCTGCAGGTGAAACGCACTAATCTGAAGAAGCCAAATTCTGAGCGCACAGGACATGGACTTCGTGTAAGGTTCAACCCCCTGGCTCTGCTGCTTGATGCATCTCTGGAAGGGGAGTTTGACCTTGTCCAGAGGATCATATATGAGGTACAGACACTTCCTCCATAGGGGTAAGATATGGGGATTTTATTTACTAAAACTGGAGAGTGCTAACTGCATGGTAGCTAATCGGCTTCTGATTTCAGCTTGTTCAATTATGTTTTGACAAAAAACCTGGAAGCTAAATTGGTTTCTGTGTAGAGCTACAGCAGATTTTGCGCACTCCAGTTTTAGTAAATCAAGTCCATGATGTCTTTGAGATTAGTAATGATACACTGTGCTCTTCTGCAGGTGGAAGATCCCAGCAAACCCAATGATGAGGGGATTACTCCTCTGCACAATGCTGTGTGTGCTGGGCACCATCACATTGTTAAGTTCCTGCTGGACTTTGGTGTTAATGTGAATGCTGCTGACAGTGATGGCTGGTAAGTGTAGTCGTCTTCCAGAGAATGCTCACTTGAATTATCTGGGCATGAAAGGGAACTGTTCTTTTTAAAATGCTGCTTTATGCATTGACATACCTTCTTAGACCTGCTTTCTGGGCACTGTCCAGAGGCAGTTTAACTCTTCAATAAGGCACAGAATTGTATCCAATGCACTTGGATTCTGTGTGCAATGGTGCACACCGAAGCAGATTGGTTACTATACACAGCTGCACCAGATTCTAACTTCAGCTTGTCCAATTCAGCTTTGACAATAAAACGTAGAAGCTGATTGGTTAATATGCACAGCTGCATCAGTTTTAGTAAATCTCCACCTATGAATTTCCTAAGCCCTGTCTCTGCGAATATCTAACACTGACTGAGGGAACATGGAAGAAATAGGAAGGGGTTAGCTAGGACTGAACTAACTAGCACTGAAGGGGTTGGGAAGGACAGTGGGTGATTACCAGTTTATATAAGTAAACAAGTTGCAGTGATCCAAAACCGCCACTAGATGTTGGCATATTACAAAACAATAATAACCTGATGTAGTTCAATACAACACAAAAAAATTACATAAAAGTGAGGAAGAGCCGGAAGGGTGACAACAGAAGGATGGCGGCTGTCGATGATGGTTTGGCTTTTAAAAATGTCATCTTCATCCTTTACTACAGAGTCGCTGGCATAAAATAAGTACTTGTGTCAGGACCTAAACGTTTTTGGCTGGGTGCTTGCTTCTAGGTCATTGATTCACTTGACAGTCTCCTAGCCTGCATAATAAAAAAAAACTGCACTGGCGCATCCCATATGTCCATCCTGACAAGTTTAAGAGTGGAAATCTGATTAGTGGAATGATGCTTCTTTTATATCACATCCTAAAATGTGATCTGAGCTTTTGGTGGCCTAAACCCAGCTATAAAATCAAATCTAACTTTATAATATTGCTTTGGATGGCCACATCACCTCCTCAGCACTATGTATCTGCCAGTGGTGGGGGTGACACACACAGAGGATGGCGCTCACTAACTAAAATTATTTTATAGCCAACCTGTTGGAAGAGCCAAAACTGACAGCTGGATAAGTTACAATACATTGTACAGTTGTGCTCAAAAGTTTGCCTCCCCTGGCAGAAATCGTGAAATTTTGGCACTGATATTGAAACTATGACTGATCATACCAAAAAACTTTTTTATTTAACCCCTTTGCGCCGGCCGCACGCAAATGTGCGGCCGCCCGGCGTCTGGGCCTAGAAGCCGAGCGGCCGCACATTTGCGTCCATGGAACTAAATACATATGTGCTGAGAGCGCGCGCCCTGCGCGCTCCCAGCACACGTGTAGTACTCACGGAAAGGCCCCGCTCCGCTCTTTCGAACGGGACCTTTCCCGTTCATGTGACCACCGTGACGCGTCATCACGGCTGTCACATGATTCCTAAAACCACGCCCCCACCGCCCTGCCTTCCGGTGTCAGAATCTCTTAAAGGGCCGGGAGGCGGCGGCGTCAAGGGGTTAAGGATAGTGATCATAAGAAGCAGTTTGATATCATATAGTTGTCTGGCTCCTTTTTAAATCTTAATAACGAAAATCACTGAAATGGCCCTGATTAAAAGTTTACATACCCTGGAATGTTTGGCCTTGGTACAGACCACAAGGAGATACACACACTTTTCCACTTTTGTGGCTTTTGAAATTGTAATTAGTGTCTGTGTACAAATAGTCAATTAGTTTGTTAGCTCTCACGTGGATGTACTGAGCCATGGGGAGCAGAAAGACCTGCGCAACAAGGTAATGGAACTTTATAAAGATGGAAAAGGATATAAAAAGATATCCAGAGCCTTGAATATGCCAGTCTGTACTTTTCAATCACTTAAGACGTGGAAAATTCATGTATTTTTTGATACAAAGCCAAGGTTAGGTAGACCATGAAAGACTGCAGCCACAACTGCTGAAATGCTGGGATACCTCCTCACTGCCTGTTTTGCACATGGTTGCAGGGCGTTTGCGCCGCTTCCCTGTTTCCTTGAATGTGATCACTACATGTCAGGTGAACTTTGCCACGGGCATGAAGCACAGCATTGCAGTCGTGGCATATAAATATCCCTGTCCACTGAATATTTCAACTGAAGAGAGGGGTGGCAAAAACGCATCTCAGTCAAGCACTTGATTGAAAAGGGAGTCTTAATTTTGGTGAGAGCCAGACAGGACAAGTTTTAATGCAGTTGTTTTGCTTTACTGTGCAATTCCCCCGCTAAGTGTGTGGAGATTGTATAATCAGATGTGTGTGCATGTCCTGACAGATTATGCAGCTCTTCATTAAATATTGTCTGCTGATTTCAGATTGTGTCCTCAATCTCTGTGCTTTCTTCCTGCCAGGACTCCTTTACACTGTGCGGCTTCCTGTAACAGCGTCCACCTGTGCAAGATGTTGGTAGAGTGTGGGGCTGCCCTCTTTGCCACCACTATTAGTGACACTGAGACAGCTGCCGACAAATGTGAAGAAATGGAAGAGGGCTACATCCAATGTTCACAGTTTCTTTATGGTAATTTAGTCTAATGCATTATGAAGCTGTCATTCACCTTTGATTCAAGAGCAGCTGTCTTGTTTACCATCGTCACGTCCGGCCACTGTATATAAAACGGCCAGTTGGGACAAGTGTCTTTTTGGGAGGACAAACCCATGGGGCAACAGCTCGATCATTGACCACATTGGACGCAGCAGATCAGCATACTGGGCTTCTGTGATTGGCCCTGGTACCATGTGAGCGCTATGAGCAATCAAGCGATTACATGTCCAGTTGTATACAGTGGCTTTCATTCACAATGCCATTGCTTACTACTGTGGCCCTGTACCATGAACTCACTGTGACCAATCAATCACAGCAGCCCTCTATCGTGTAATTGGTGTGGACAATCACAATAATAAACAATGGCATTACAAATGAATGCAAAACAGTCAGACCGATAACTTATACAGTGATCATCCCTGTAATAACCAATCATAGTGTGTAGTAAACAAAATTGTCGATCACCTCCCAGAGTAGTGTATGTATGTATGTGTGTGTGTGTGTGTGTGTGTGTGTATATATATATATATATATATATATATGTGTGTTTTTTTTTTTCCATACTGTCACCTAGCAAGTAGAGTGTCACTATGGTGACATTGTATTTCTATGGCAGTGATCATATACAATAGCTGGCTGCCCTGATATTACTGTATGTCAGTGCTGCCAGCTATTGTGTCTGATCACCGCCACAGCATTACAATATCAGCAGACCAGTGCTGCTAGTCAGTTTCACCACAGGAACTCTTTTGTTGTTCCTTGAACTCCTTGCCATCAGCCGCACGCATATATGTGGTCTCTTGGCGATTGGCCCTAACTCCGAAAGGACGAATATACGTGTACCCAAAAAAACGAGAACTGCGCTGTGAGCGTGCACCGGGCGTGCTCCTGACACCGTTAATGGCAGCTAGCTAACGGGAAGCTCCTGATCTCTACTTGGGATCAGGAGCTTTCTGATCATGTGACCACTGTGACAGCCACTCACTGCGGTCACGATCACAAACCCTGCCTGCCTCGTGGCATCTAAAACCCCTTAAAGGTCTGGGAGGCACTGGCACAAAGGGGTTTAACCTCTTGTACTTCCTGGCCAGTGAATATGGCATTCCTTGGGGCAGCCATGTACCAGTAGGCTAGGCTTTCATGGTTTATAGGAACTGGGACTGCTATAGGTGACCCTACACTAAGCTATATTCCCTGACCACTTGTATAGAAGCGACCATTACAGTACATTGGTTTTGATACAACTAGTTGATTTGTGTGATACATGGGATACAATGCCCAGTATATAGCCTAAAAAGTGAAAAAATTTCACATTTGGTTTCGCCCATACTCAGGAGCAGCAGAATGTGTTTTGGATTGTAATCCTTAGTATGCCCATGCTGTGTGTAAGAAATATCTTATTAAATTAACAACTTTCTGTAAAAAGGAATACAAATTTTCATTTTCTTTCTGCACTTTCCAAAACCGTGGCAAAAAATGTCTTCAAAAGACTCACCATGCCTGTTAGAAATACCTTGTGGTGTTTGCTTCCTGAATTGTGATCCTTTTGTGGGTGTTTCCAGATACATTACAGATGCCTAACTTATCCCCTAGGCACAGTCCAGTTTTCAAGGGTTAATGATCTATTAATGAATACAGAGCTATGTTGATTTAAATGCTTTCAATCTACCTGGAACTCAGCTTTAACACTTCCTGTTTCATTACATCATTGTGTTTGATGGAAGTGTTTTAAGTCATTAATGACTTTGCCACAGAGGAATTCCTCCAGTCAGTGTGTATGTGTTTTCATAATGCAGGTGTTCAGGAGAAGCTGGGGGTAATGAACAAAGGCCTGGTATATGCCCTGTGGGATTTCGAAGCACAAAACGCAGATGAGCTGTCCTTCCGAGAAGGTGATTCTGTCACCATTCTGAGACGCAAAGATGACACGGAGACGGACTGGTGGTGGGCACGTCTTAATGAAAAGGAAGGATATGTGCCTAAGAACCTTCTGGGGGTAAGTGGCCACCTTAGATGTAGATGAGGGAGAGTGGTTGCCAAGGTCAACAGAACACATTTCATGTATGGGGTCCCACATTCATTGACTATTTACACGTTTACCTTTTATTTTCTCTTGCACAGCTATATCCCCGGATAAAACCCAGACAGCGAACCTTGGCTTGAAATCCAGACAGCCTCAAATTTCCTACTTACACTGGAAAGAGAGGCAGAAAACCAAGCTATAAACATTTCATGGACCATCTGTGGATGCTGTCTCTACACTACAGACATTATAAGTACAGTGTATTCCGAGATGTATTATATACCCTTCTGGGTCATTTACAGGCTGAGCGTTCATACAATCTGCGCATGGATTCTGCAGGACTATTGTCGGATCAGATTTACCAGGGTGCAGATGTGGAGACACAACTCTGTCCTCCGGTACCACACAAAGTCCTCGGTGTAAATAAGACTTTACCGCATCTGTTCATTCTGCCCGCTTTCCTGCCAGTAATGTTTTAGTGCCAGTGCATAGAGTAAAGGCCGGACCCAATACCATCAGCTCCATAAGGCACTTCCATCTCAGGCATTTTCTGTTGTGCGTATGCGTGCGTGCGTGCGTGCGTGCGTGTGTGCTGGTCATTGTGGGTCTTTTTAGCACATTTCCAAAAAAGGTTTTCTTTTTTAATTTGCAAATCAGAAGTGTGTAATCAAAGGTTCAGTTTTCAGCACTTGGAAGAAGCAGGTGTGGTGGGAATGGTAAGTAGACGAATACCTGAGACAGGGTAGTGGGGGAGGTGAGAGAGTGAAGAATAAGCAGGTTCATTGCACAAAGTGTATAGGGGGGACTGGAAGTGTATGGTTATGAAGGTTGTGGAGCATTGTGTTTTTGTTCTGTTGGTGATGGATATTGTAAGTGTGGGGGGGGTACAGATTACTGTTTGCACTTTTCACGTCTGGAAGAGTTATTGGACGTTTTTGATAGCACTGTGAAGAGAGCCTTCCTATGCAGTTACCCATAGCAGTGTTCATTAGCCAAAACCAAATAAGCGGACTAGGTGCTGTGGGTTGCTGCATTGTTGTTTGCTCTCTTAAATGCCTTGTCAATATATAAATTATAGTTCACTTTTAGGAGGAATGTGTTGGGTTGAATTGCCCACAGGCTCCTATTTTTTTTTTTCATTTGAGATAGCTCTTCAGCACCTTTTTGTCTATTACCACAAGGCCATTAAATGGATTGCCCAGTTACAGCCTTGATGGATTGTAATACAGAAAATATGAGACGCCATTGGCCAGCTTCCTATAGGGCTACAGCCACTTGATGGAACTGTGAGTTATGGTTGGGGTTTTAGTTTAAGCCGTATAAACAGCCTGCAGGTTGAATTGAAGCATACTGAGTATTCACTCTTCTGATCTAATGTTGTTACTTGGAGCAGTAAAGTAGCAACTATTGCACATAACATTCATCCATTCTGTTCAGTTGTCTTTGCACAGCCCTCTGAAAGTGAGCATTGTGGACTTTAAAAATAAACTTTTGATGCGGTGAGGATGTTACTAAAACTGGTACACATGTGCATAGTATCCAATCAGCTTGGCCAATTTTAAAAGGAATGTACAGTTGTTTTATATATATATATATATATATATATATATATAATTTTTTTTTCTCCTTTTTTTTTAGGTCACTACTTAAAAATTACTTTAAATATGGCATTTTTCATACAGGCAATATAGTGTTCAGCTTATCTAACAAGTGGATCTTTAATCTTCTTTTCACATTTTACAGTATCTCTGTTTACAAAGCTGACTTGTTCCATTAAGACAGGCTTTTTTGCAGGCTGCTGCGTGGGTATGGTATAAACAGGACACCTAGAAAGTTGTTTTCTATGTGCCCTGTTCACACCATCCATGTGCAGTGGCATGCAGAAAAATTTAGCTCAATGGATATGTTGTGAACAAGCCCTAAAAGCTCGAGTGGAAATGTACTTACAAAAGTAAATGAGCTGGAGAAAAACTTGCCTCTTTTTGGACATCTGTCTGATGAGTCGGACAAAGCCGGCTTCATTGCAGGTTGCACTATAACCCATAGTGCTCGGAGTATTCTTTGCCATGTAATAAATGGTTCTTTTTAAAACTAGAAATTTGTGTTTATACACTCTATGGATTTAACGATGATTGATATAAAATCCTTATTTTGAAACTGACCTAATGCCATTACAGCCTCCCTTATGTTTTTACCCTAAAAAAAAATAATTTCCTTTAGAGAGCTGGTGCAGGCATTGTAAAAATGATGATTTGATAAAGAAATGCAATTTTGTTGCTCTGCTTGCACTATTAGATCTGTGGGTGGACTTGCACATCTATTGAGTTTCTAACCTAATTTACACTTTATACCTTGTTTTTTTTTTTTTTCCTTTCTAGTGGTTTGTATGCTACATTTAGTGTAATAAGGCTTTGGTGGTACCGTCAGACTATATAAAACTTGGTGTTTAAGGCTATCTTTTGAAGAAGACCAATCTCCATTGAAAACCCTTAGACATGTTATCAGTGCCCAAAGTGAGAGCAGAAACATGTTTATAACCTGACTAGGGAAGAAAACTCACTGCATTACACTGTTTATAGGTTTTGCACAAAATGTTTTAGGTGTGTTGAAAGATGACGGCAAACATAATGTAGAAATTTGATCAGATGTTGGTTGTTACGATTTAACTACAGGCTGTGGGGGCTTCAGCAGTTGGGACTTGTACAGCTTGAGAGCCAAAGATTGCTTAGAGGGGTTTTGCACTGCAGAGTAAGATAAGAGTACCCATAGGTAGGAGAAATTACTGCCCTCATTTTTACTGTCTTGTGATTGGCTAAATCAAGCTGTTACAACACGGGGATGGGGGTCATTTTGCACGACTGTCAAAAGACTTCTGGGGTTTTTTTAGGGTGGACACAAAAAAAAAAAAAAAAAAAAAAAAAAAAAACAGCCTGCTTGCTGTTGGGGAACTACAAAGTCTGTGTGTACAAGCTGGGACTTAGTTTTTATGTGGCTGTCCTAATATAAAATGTAAACTGTGTTTTAATTTAGGAGGAGAATGGTGTGTTTGTGTTACTTGGGCAGAGTGAAGTTTAATGGAAGGTATGCAATAAGCTATACACTGTATTGTGAATCTGAAACCATAAATGTCACTGGAATTCACTGTACATGCTTTAATACCAGAAGTATTTTTTTTCTTAAATTTCTTTCCTTTTTAACCCCCCCCCCCCCCTTTGAGTTTTAGGACGTGCCGAGCTCTCTGCGGAGGGCTGCAGACACGGCCCTGCCACAGACCTGTGTATGCGGTTTCTCATACGCTGTGCTAAGTATGCTCTTACAATGTTTGCATTAAGTGTATATATTGTGGTGATGGTGGAAGTTAAAAACAAAACAAAAAAAAAAAGTATAAAAGGTATTTGTTTAAATTTATTTGCTACTGCTGAAGTTGTTTCTGAAGAGATCTAGAAAACAGGTTTCAGAAAAAAAAACCCACAAATGTAAATGATCAATAAAAATGCTATAGCATGTTCCAGTATTTGTTGAAAGTGGTGTCTGTTCATTGTTTTTTTTTTGGGGGGGGGGGGGGGGGGGGGGTATTGTTGCCACTTTAAAGAACTTGTCTTGAAAAGCTGTTTTCTCCTTATTCACAGAGGGGGCTATGAATGTTTCTTTCACGTGAGTGGACAGATCGGGTCCGCCTGTCAGTTTCAGGTGAACCTGATTGGACCCTCCATTCTCCTCTACAGAGCAGTGGGTATAAACAGACGTGTGTCTGTTTACAACTGCCTACATCCAATATGCTAAAAACAGACTGATGGGATCCATGTCCCTTCCATTGATGGGATGGAAACTGGGTGTTAATGGACAGGTGGTCTGTTTCGTCTGACTGACCCTAGGAGAGTAGGTTATATTCTCTCTGTATAAGCAGAGCCGACATGGACCAACCCTCTGCTTACTCAGTGGGGATCAGTAGACAGAATCTCCTCTTGAGCAAAGGGCATCTGCCCAGTGTTGAAGGGTCCTAAGTGTTTTTGCAGGCTGTGAGAATGATGCCTTACTTAAAATCAAATGTACCAGGATTAGAGTTATTGTAGATAAATCAGAGCTATATGGATATCTGATAACTTGTCAGTCTCCGCATGGGTTGTTGACTTCACACAACCCTTGCTTCTCTGTTATAACAGCGTGCCGTAAATTTCTGACTCCTGCTTAAATTGGAGTTTGTGATGTCTATCTCCTAGAAGATTGGTGATTTCAATTGGGCTTATGCACATCAGGATTAGCAGGCAAAAACTGGCAAATTTTAGTAGGTCAATCAAGCTATAGTAGAAATGATTGTAATAATAACCTGTGTAGTAGCTTATAGCCTCCTTGGGTGCCATTTGTTACATTATATAAATATATATTACACATACAAAGTGTATATATAGCATGATTGAGCACCTATCTAATGAGCCCATTCAGCCATTTCCATGCATTGTGGTACAGTAGCCCATTTATTATAAACAGATATTTAATTTTGATTTTGTTACCCCCATAATCCATTAAGCTGGTGTCAAGCAGTCCATCTCCAGTGAGGTGACTTCACCTCCTTTACATTAGTCTGGTAACTATGGTTAACCGCCTCCCGCCCGCCACACAGTCCAATAACGGACGCAAGGCGTTTCTCTTGGTGCGCTATGTCTCTTTGACACAGCGGATCACCGATCCACGGAAAGAGCCAAAGATGTCAGCTCGGTCATGTGATCAGCTGTGTCTAATCACAGCTGATCACATGTAAACAGGGAAATACCGGTTATCGGCATTTCTCTCCTCATGAGCTGTCACACTGACAGAGGAGAGAAGAGCCGGTAATCTGCATTCCTCGGGGGGGGATATGTGTACTGATCATTAGGGCACTGATGATCAGTGTAGCCCCAGCAGTGCCACCTGTCAGTGCTCATCCATGCCACCTGCCAGTGCCCATCTGAGCTGCCTTTCAGTGTCACCCATCAGTGCAAGTCAGTGCCACCTAACAGTGCCCATCAGTAATGCCTGTCAATGCCCATCACTGCAGCCTCATTAGCGCATATCAGTGAAGGAGAAAAATCACTTATACAATTTTGTAAATGACAAAAACTAAAACTTTTTTTTTTTCAAAATTGTCAGTGGTTTTTGGTTT